TTTTCCCAGAGACAGTGCTCTTGTTACTCTGCATAATCCAAAGAACATGCTGTCATGTTTCATAGGGACCATTTCTTCAGCTGAAAAGTGTTACTGTAAAGGCTGGATTATTCAGATTTACCAAAACAATCTGCATGGCTATAAACCCCATAGGCACAGTAAGTAAAATAGATGTTTTTTCTCACATTAAAGCACTGCTATATCCCAGGCTGAATAATTGACCCAAAATTTACAAAGTTTCAATCATGTCAATCTAAAATCAATCTAAAATTTCACTGGATCACTAGATGTTTTTATTTATGTATTACAGCTGACCACAGTGGATCTGCCCTCTGGTCTGACACCTGAGAGTGAGAGTAATTCAAATCCAAATACTGCATTCCTACTGGCCTGGTGAGTCCCTCACAGGAGCACAGGAGCCCCTATGGCATGGCCGTGGTGTCACTCAACCCATAAAAGGAGAACGCCCCAGTCTCTCCTCGCCTTCCACTGATATGCAGACTCCTACAGGAGGTAACCCATATTCAGCGCTTAACTTTATTTCAAGGTGAAGGTGAAGTTCTAGAACCTTTTGGATCCCAAAGGAGACCATTATACACAACATCAACAACAATCTCAGATCTGTGGAAGTAAGATACGGATTCCACCGTTTGCTTTAGGGATTAGGGGATAACCTTGCTCTCTCCACAAAAAGTCGACTCCTGTGTTTTCTCCGCTGCTGGGAAGGATCAGCGCGCTGTTGAACCCACGGCAGCGTGGTGTACTGGCTATCAACAGAACCCAAGCTGAGAAGGCCAGATTACCTAAACCGACTGCTGCATACATTGTTATCAAGAGCAATTTCAATTAAGAGGCTTGTGTCTGGACAGAAATTTATAACTGTGTTATTGTAACCTAAGCTTCACTTGGTGATTTTTGTGAGAAATAACGGACCGTCTTGTTTATTGTTTTCATGCCTAGCACGAAAAAAATAACTGTTTCACTCCCATGCTGCTGGGCCTTTACCCTGTTGTTCCTGACACTGTGTATGAAGCAAATAGCACTTTATCAAGACCAAAGTTCAGCAACATGGCTGCTGAATGCAAGTTTACTGCCAGTTCCTGTGATGAAGTGGCAGTTAATGTGTTTTACCACGGTAATTAAGATTTTATGCATCTTTGCTTGTTTTAGTTCTGCGTGCAGAGCCAATAACTACTCTTTTACTGAGACCAGGACCACAGCCGCTGAATGCGAGAAACTGGGATCTTATATACCTTGCTCTGTGTGCCTTTTTCTCTTTCTCTCGTCCTAACCTACACACACACACCTTACGTGCTTGCACACACAAACACATGTTTAACTCACAGGTAGCATGTGGCCTAATCTCCAGCTAAGCTCCACGCCATCTCACTGAGGACTGGTATAGTGTGTCCTCCATTTTGGTTCCTAACCCCTTGCTTAAGCTACACGGGAGCCCGCCATTTTGGAATATTGTGCGACGAGCCACCAATGTGGTCACAATCATGGCAAATATGACCATGTAGGTGGCATCTTTCGAGCTCTTCCACTTTCGGCTGTAAATGGGAAGGTTGGCGGTTCAATCCCCAGCTCCAGGTTGTGTGTTGAAGTGTCCTTGGGCAAGATACTGAACCCTGAACTGCTCCTGGTGGCTGTTCCAGTGTATTAATGTGTGTGAATGTTAGTTTCTGTTTGAGCACTTAGGCTCAGTGTGTGAATGGTGGATGCGAGGTAGTATAAAAGCGCTTTGAGTGGTCGAAGACTAGAAATGCGCTATACAAGCACGGAATATTTACATTTACAATCCTCCCATGCTATATACACTGTTTTGCTTAAAGCAGTTGATGGTAGTGGTTTATTGGTTGAAGATGTTGATTGATCTGTGCTTAAGTGAATAAATCATGTATTTTTTAAAGAGCAGCTGCCTGTGATTACTATATTGTGCTAAGCAGGCAAAAACCTTTTTATTTGATAAAGATTTGGCATTTAAACAGACAGACTATTCCTGACTATTCAAGTTGCATTATGGAAAATGAGGGATCCAGTGTGTTTGGAGTTACATCTTTAGAAGGGATTAAAAATCAGGATACCGTGGCCTCTGTTGTCTTGATTTTGACCATTTAAAAAAAAATTATCTCCCCAACTTTATGGAAATGCAATAGGTGCTTGGACAACCCCTGCAGGAGCACAGCATTCAGGATTGGAGGTGGCCATGTTGGTTCATTGGGTCTTGAGTTACCAAGCTTGAGTTTGCACTTAGGGCTGCAACAGTGTGAGATTTTCATGGTAGGATAACACAAAACATCACAATGAATCCTGTATACCACTGCAATCCTACTTTAAGTTACCAGAATGTTTACTATTCATATTATGTGGTCAAATGATTAGTCCATAAATTTTTTTGGTCATTATTAACAATTTTGTTAATTTATGGTTTAAGTCATTTATCCATCAAAAATGCCAACAACTGGCTGGCTCCAGCTTCTCAAATGTGACTATGTGCTACTTTTCTCTGTTTAATATCATTGTATCTTGTATATATTTGGATTTGGACTGATGGTGAGACAAAACAAGCAATTTGATGATGTCACCTTAGGTTTCTCTTGCTATGGCACTTGTACAAGCAGCAGTTGGCAGCGCCTTCAAACTTCGCTACACTTTTGTTTTTTATCTGTTTTTTTCTGGCTTTGTTGCCAAAACAAGTGTTCCCTCTGACATAAGTACAGTCATTGGAAGTTCAAGATGGTGTTTTGGATTAAAGAGCAGCAGACCACGATCTACCTGGCCCAAACAACCGGACCAGGCACCATGGCGGGTGCGGTGATCGCACAGAAGAGAGGAAAGAGAGTCAGGAGAGGAGCCATGCTGGCCCAGCTTGGACTTAATTCTGCTCCTAAATAGCCGGTCTGGACAAAATGGGACTCATGTTGACCAAGCAACGGAATTCAGAGATTGCTGTGCCCACATCGTTACAGAGACTTGCCCCATCAACAGCGGCAGGTGGTCCATGTTCTGAGCTGCCAGCGCAAGACTCTGGCAAGATGAGAGGACGTGGACTCTGTGTTTTACGTCGATGATGCTTGGTGTACAAACACAGTCAACATGGACTCTGTTTCCCAAATGTCAGAAATTTTCATACTATCATCTGGTTGCTGCTGTTTACATTCCCCCCATGCAAATTCAAAAAATGCACTGTGGAATGTTCAGGGTTATACTAAGTTATACTTGTCTGTATATATGTATTTAAATAGCTGTATTGTTTAATTTTATTTTATATGTTACCATATTTTAATATAGGCCTACACTTAATTATATGTTGTGTGTGTCGCATGAAGGAACTACAAATTTCATTTCTTTTTGCAGCCTTGTCCTGTATAATGACAAATAAACAACCTTGTACCTTGTTGTGGGGAATATTGAATGTCACTTCCTGACATGTTATAGATGATCAACTGATTAATCAGAAAATAATAGAAAAATTAATCAAAAACAACCAAAAACCATAGATGGCAGCCCTAAACCAGTGCCGGTCCAAACTAAAATATGAAGCCAAATGTGGAGAATGTATGATTAGAAGCAATGCTGCTGTGCAATCCACAGCTCAGCTAATACACTGCAGCAAGGGTCTTGAGAGAGTTTGTGCTTCTAAGTCCAAAGCCCACATGTTTAGACTGTTCCTGTGATTAAGGATTAATTAAGTTTAATTAATTAAGAAGGCTTTCAGGAAGAATTAATGTTACTTGTCACTGACTAATTCCCCTGGAAGGACACACACAGCTGGTAAATCATTTTCCAGAGAAGAAGAATCAACATGCTGGCAGTGAATGGTGCTCCTGCTGTGATGGACAGGACAAGTTATAGAGTATAGTTCAGGAACACAAATGGCAGTAAAATTTTTCCTCAGTGTGGTTTCTATGGTTGCCACGGTCACAAGCAGTAACACCGGGTGGCTCTGGCTCAGGCGGTAAAGTGGGTTGGTTGTTAATAGGAAGGGCAGCGGTTCAATCCCCGGCTCCCCCAGGCTGCATGTCGAAGTGAACCCTGAAGTGCCCCAGTGAATGAATGTGTGTGTTGAGCACTTAGGCTCAGAGTATGAATGTGTTTGACTGGTGAATGTAGATGTGCTATATGAATACGGAGCATTTACATAACGCCAAGTTGATCCATCTTCCACTTTGATTGGCCATGGAAAATATCTGTGCTGGTGACTGTGTGGTAGCAGCATCCGCTCACTGTCTGCTACACCTTAACCCTGCTTCCTGCAGATCTATGTCAAGCCAACACACTTCCATTACATAACTTTAGTTATCAATAACTGGAGTGCTTTAACTGTAGCCCATCATTTCTCCAGGTGAGAGGGTCATTTAATACCAAATTTTCTGCCTGAACTTCTGAAGGACTGTTTTTCTGTTTCTGTTTTGGGTAGTTGGAAATGACAGCAAAGCAGCTAATCCATTTAAATTTGAACTAACATGGCTTAAAACACTCTGTCAGAATCTGAAAAGTTCTTAATCAGTGAAATCAGCAAAGACAAATTCCCTCATTATCTTAGCAATGCTTGCTCCAGTTACAAAAGTAGTTAGTGACACATGCCCTTCATGTAATTAAAACCAGCTGTCACTCCTCACTCAGGATTTCCATTATTGTATGCACATTGTGCTGCCCTTCTAAAGTCATCTTTTTCTCATTAAATGGTGAAACATCAAATGTTTGTGGATTGCCTCTAATTTTTATTATAATGGGAACATTTCCGTCATTCTGTGACTTCTTCCACATTCTGTCAGTTTTTTTTGCAGCCATGGAAGTTAACAGTAGTTGTTAACTGAACTTTACCACACATGATGACAAGCATTTGATTCTTTGATTCTGGAGTAAACTGATCATATTTAACAAGGTATGGGAAAACACACCAGTTATCAAGCCCTTTTCTGCTTCTGAACGCTGTAAAAAATGCATGTATGTGACTCATTTAAATGCAGTCTGCTTCAGAGGCGTTGTCTTACTCTGAATGAAGCGGGGAGGGTTGTCATTGACATCAGTGAGGGTGATATTGACCACAGTGGTTCCAGTGAGCCCTCCTCTTTGTCCAGCCATATCTTTAGCTTCGATTACCACCTGGTAGTGCTCCCTCTGCTCGCGGTCCATGTCACCAGGACCCAAGGCTGTCCGGATCACACCTGAATAAAAATAACACATGCTTTTTTGTTTAAAATCTGCCCCCCCCCTCATTGTGTATCATTTGGTGCAAAAACTACGTGAAAGTGAGGGACACAGCAGAATGGAAACTGGTCTTGTGGATTTTACAGAGCTTGAGTCAGAACATTTAGGCCCCGTGTCCACCAAAGCGTTTTTTGCCAGCTGAAAACGCCACCTGCTCTTCTGAAAAGGGTGCGTTTTGGAGGCGCAGTGGGGGTTTTTTCGAGACGCTGTGGTTGCTATGATACATAGTTTCCGTGGAGGCGATGTGCTGCAAATAGGGTGGCCTACTTACTTTTACTGAATGTAAAAATGTCACCACAAAGTACGTAGGCCTACTTGCTTGAGATTTTGTGGGCGAGGAAACACCTCGGCGAGTAGGCACATCGTTTCGTTCAAGATCGGATGTGCTCGGTGTGGTGTTTGTCCCGCCCCTCCTGCACTGTGATTGGACGGCTGGGTAAAAAGTGACAGTGACGAGCACAGCATTTTTCCCAAAGTTGAACATTTTTCAACTCTCGGCGACCGGAAAAAAAACTTGGCGCGGAAAAGACGCTCAGCGCCTCGTCACACTCCTCCTACCAGCTTGGAAAAACACGGTGCTTCCATTGGAATGAACTGAAAAAAGACGCTGGCGTCACAAAAAAAACCTTGGTGGACACAGGCCCTTAGCCTATCTTAGCCTAAATTCTGGAAACATGAGGAACATGGCTCCTTCCAAAGTAAAAAAAACTATCAACACCTCTAAAGAGCACTGATTTACCCACTGCATTACCGTAAGAGTTACGTGATGGAGCTATTTCTTGGTAAATATCAGCACACTTATTACTACTCCTAGTTTATTTGATTGGGTGGGTAAAATAGTTTTGGGCAAATTTGGGTGATTTCGCCAATAAAAAGCTTACAAACAACAGGGCTGGGTGAGATGCCCAAAAAATGTTATTATGAAAAAATCATTATTCGATATCAATAATTACCAGGATACTGTAAATGTCAATTCATTATTTCTTTCAAGTTAAGCGAACTTTTGCTCCTGAGTAACCAGGTGGTTAATTGTGGATAATTAAATTTTTCTTTATATTCAGAACAAACACTTGCTGCAAAACAGTGGATCACTTCACAAATCTGAGGTATGATTAAAAAAAAAATGAGTAAAATTAAGTAATATCTTTTTTTTGTCCCCTTTCCTCAGCAAAATAAATATCTTAATAAAAAAAAAAATTATTTGCTTTTATTGCCCAACAATATAACAGCTTAATGCTTACAATATAGCATTAAGGTATACTGCAATGAATTCATTCCTCCTCTCCTCAGAGAAGTGAGACTGACAGGAAATTCAGTTTTTTTTCTAATTTGAATGATCATTTAGCATACATCCATACTTTAAGATTTCATCCTTAATGTTTTCATGAAATCAAACTCCATTTTTGAAACTTTTTATAGTTTGTATTTAATAAAAAAAGCATTTACAGTAATGCCCGACCATTCCCATCTTGGATTCAGATGGTCTTCACAAAGGGCACTGACAGGAAACAATGCAGCATGTATGTATATCTAATATATATTGTTTACTGTTAGCTCTATGTACATCTGTGCTACGTTACTGCTAATGCCAACATCCTACTGCTGCTGTTGCACATTTAAAGCATTCAATTTTAAAAGCAATTTTAACACACAAAGATGAGATTAGTATTGGTCTTCCCATCTGAAGAAAGCAAAACAAGTGTATTTCTTTTTATATTCATTAATGTTCCTTTAATTTTCATTAGCTCATGGGCTATAAGTTTTCCATTTGCTTCAATATTCTTGTTGTTCTTCACATTCCACTTCCTGACAGCATCCGGAGAACATGGGCTACCATTACTGCTTAATCCACACAAGCTGGCCACAGCCCTGATTCCTCTATTTGTTAGAAACAAACAGATGAGCAAAGAGAGGGTGATTACTGCCTGATAATCTAAATGGATGGGTAACTTTTTTATTTACAGAGAAAGTACATGATCAGGAGAGGGTTGACCTGGGCTGTGTTTTTATGAGATGAGATGAGCATATTTTCTCTGTCTTTTTTTCAGTATAGCAGGAACAAAAAATTTTTTCCAAGCTTTTTACAAAGAAAACACATATTTTGGCTTAAAATGAGATATGGACCTGCAACAAAGAAGAGTATCATATTCTCATTGTTGATTCACGCTGTTTACCCAAATTCAATTCTGGTGCTGGTAAAGACACTACTGGAAGATTTCTATCACAGAATGATCTGATAAATTGAATCTGATAAAGTGAATATGTAGTAGTGAGATCCAAAAGTGGCATTAAGTGTAAGTTAAAGTCAGCAATCCAACAGTAAATTAGATTTCCCAGCCACGTTATACAATGCATGGCCATGTTACCTTTATGCATAGGAATTTCTACATTTCTACAACAAAGTTCTACATTTGAGAAAATGTAGGTCCAAAGAAAATGGCGCTCTGATGGCAAGGTAAAGTTCCATTTTTTAGGTGGCTAAATTGTGCTTTCCCGCTAACCCTGTCCACAGCAGTACATTGCTTAGCTTCCCTGCCGATAAAACTCTCTATTTGTCCAAATTGGGCACCGGCCGAAGCTGCAATTTCATGATGATGATAATCTGTGATAATACAGCATAATAATGAAGTACCTTAGTACTGCAGAGATGGCTGGCTTACAAATTTTTTTCTGCAGATGTAAGAAAACATGTTTGTTTGGTACAGCCCCAACAAATGTTAAATCATCATGATTTTAATAGTATTTAATATCCAAATCGTAATTAATCTGTTAAAATAATCACAATATGTTTTTTTTACCATATCGTTCAGGCCCTGGTCTGAATGCCTTTTATTTTCTCACTGTTCTTACCGGAAAGTCATAACCATTACTTACAATACAGGGACTGGGATTTAAAGGATGATTCTGTCAAACATACCTGTGTTTGGGTCCACAGAGAAATAAGGGTGTCCCTGGCTGATGCTGTAGACTAGTTTGGCACTGTTCCCATACATACTGTCATCAGCATCTGTAGCTGTCAACTGGATGACTGACGTACCTGAGAGACACACATTGACATGCCTATCACTGATAAATATCACATGATCTGGGGTATACCTATGATGCTTTAATTGTTTTAAAAAAGAATGAACATTATTAAAATTGGAAAGAGCAATCAAAGCAACCCTAGCTCTCTTCCTGCAATGAGTCCAGTAAGAGTTGTCCTTACCAATGTCAGACCTCTCAGGTACACTCCCGGTGTACACTTCTTTGCTGAAATGAGGCTCGTTATCATTGATATCATGGAGTTTGACAGTGAACTCAGTCTCTGGCTCCAGCTTTTGACCTGTCCGTTTGTTGACCACGGTGGCTCTGAGGATGTAAAAAGCCTTCTCCTCACGATCCAGGCGGCGAGTGGCGTGCAGGTCGCCATTATTCTCATCTATGACAAAGATGGTGCCGGCCCCCTCACCGGACAGAACATACTTTACTAAGCCATTGCCGTGGTCCTGGTCCGACTGGAGCTGCAGATGGACACACACACAAGTGCTTAATTATCATCCTTTGAATGACAGTTACATGACTGACTTCAGTAAGTCAGAGTTTCAGCATACAATAAAATTCTAATTTTAAGAGACAAAATTCACCAAGACCTGCCCTTAACTGGTACAGATTTAGCTTCACACTCAGGAACTTTAGAAACAGCTATAAAACCTATATATATTTAGACTGTTTTGCTCCCATTGTTCTTCACCAACTTCAATGATTTCTTCATCTAAACCATCAACCTGCCTCTTAGACCCCATCCCAAACTGTCTTTATTAACAGGCTATGTGCCACAGTCCTTTAAAGTAGCTGTAATTAAACCTCTTCTTAAAAAGCCCACCCTTGATCCAGGGATTTTAGCTATATATCTATATCTATTTATCTAACATTAATTTCTCTCTAAGATCCTTGAGAAAGCAGTCGCTAAACAGTTGTGTGACTTTCTATACAGTTTAGATTTTGATTTTCAGTAAGGACTGGTGACCTACTACTACTAATGACCTTCTAATTGCTTCAGAAAAAGGACTCTGTTCTGGACTGTTTTGAATCTAACTCTGGTGAGATCTTAGTGCTGCATTCGACACCATTGACCATCATATCCTATTACAGAGACTGGAACATTTAATTGGCATTAAAGGAACTGCTCTAAGCTGGTTTAAGTCCCGTTTATCAGATGAATCTCAGTTTGTACATTAACAATGCACACCAAAGTTAGTCACCGACTTCCACAAGAATCTGTACTTGGACAGATCCTATTAATCTTATATATGCTTCCTTTGGGCAATATTATCAGGAAACACTCTATAAACTTTCATTGTTATCCAGATGATACTCAGTTATATCTACTGATCGAGCCAGACTAATCAGTTAGCTTAACTTCAAGCATACCTTCAGGATGTAAAAACCTGGATGACCTGTTCTGATGTAATTATACTTGGCCTCAAACATCTCCGAGACACATTATCTAAAGATGGTAAATGGTCTGTACCTAAATAGTGCCTTTCTAGTCTTCTGACCACTCAAAGCACGTTACACTACATGTCTCATTCACCCCATTTACACACATTAATTCACTGATGGCAGAGGCTGTAAGTTGCAAAGATAACGTGTATGTAATGTATATAATGTGAGGAATCTTGGAGTTATCTTTGATCAGGACATGTCCTTTAACTCTTAACTCTCTTTAACTCTCCTTTTTTCACCTACGTAATATTGCAAAATTCAGGAACATCCTGTCTAAAAATGAGGCAGAAAAACAAATCCACGCATTTTTTTCCTTCTAGGCTGGATTACTCTAATTCCTTATTTTCAGGCTGCTCGAATAAGTTCATTAAGAGTCTTCTGCTGATCCAGAATGCTGCAGCACGTGTTCTGACAGGAACCAGGAAAAGAGATAATTTTTCTCCTGTCTTAGCTTCTCTGCACTGGCTTGCTGTAAAATCCAGAAGAGAATTTAAAATCCTTCTGCTCACCTACAAAGCTCTTAATGGTCAGGCACCATCTTATCTTAAAGAGCTCATGGTACCTTATTACACCACTAGAACACTGCACTCCCTGAATGCCACTGCTATAGTGCTAGACTGGCAGGAGACTTCCCGTGATGCACTGAGCGCCTCTCTCCTCCTGTCCCTCCCCATCTGTATCAATTCTTATCCCATCTTATCTGGATCTATGACTGCAAGCCACCAACATGCAGGGACACTGTTTTCACTAGGGAGGAGGACGAGGTGGATGTGTTTGGTTTCTTAGTTCTAGTGATATTCTATATTTCTAATATTGTAAATAAATCCCATGTGCAGAGCCAAATACAATGAATTTAGGGGTGACCCCGAATTGTCAAAGATTAGAGGATTCAATAGGCTGAGCCTGATTCGACTCCCAATCTCATGGTCAAATCTTTCATAGTCGTTAAGAATCGAGGATCATGCCATTTTGGCTATATGGAGATGCTCAACGTCTCATTTTACATAGAACTACCATTTTCTCCCAATAAGTTAATATGCAGACTATTATGATATAAATATCAAAATATAATGCTGTAAATAAACATCTGAAAGGAAATAAGTTTTTAATCAATCTTTTTAAAGTGTGTGAATAAATCCAAAATTGTAACATTCAAATCAATTCAAATTTATTGGCATGAATGTGTAACAACAATATTGCCAAAGCATCATACAAACTACAGATTCTGTAACCCTAATCCTTAAGGTCATTGTGGCGTAGTGTGTGTGTTGTAAAAGAGGAAGAGAGACAGAGGACCATCAGCACCTGTGATGTGCAGAGTTTTGCATGAACTTTGCACGTTTGAATCATTTATCACCATTGATTAACCACACGAAGAATATTAGATCTTTTAACAGTAGGGTACTTGGAATAGACCCGTGAAGTAACTTAACATGCATGCAATTCTCTGTTAGAATGCCAGTCGAATATGCACCGAACAAATGCACTATTTCCTCCTGATGGAGTAACATTTGATAGAAACTTACAAATAAAGTGGGCAGCTGTTTTATAAGAGTACCGAGGCTTTAAAGAGGTGGTATTATGCTTTTAGGCTTTTTCCCTCTCCTTTATTGAGTTATATATTTTTTTTGTGCATGTAACAGGTTTGCAAAGTGAAAAAGTCCAAAGTCCAGCCCAAAGGGAGTTCCCATCTCCCACAGAAAGCTCTGCTCTGAACCGCTTGAAAACAGCTCGTTTGTAGTCCAGTCCTTCACTTCCTTTACTTGTGACGTCACTATGAAAACGCGTCATAAAGCTTGCCAAGCAGCTAGTGGGGTCAGGCACGCCCTCAAAGCTAGTCAGAGCGGAGGCCCTTTGGCTCTCTGCATCATCATTGCGTGTGCCAGACAGAGGCCAACAACAGAAAGTTTTATATTTTACAGTTTTCGTATGTAATTTCATCACTAAATCCACTTCTGAGAAGTTTTGAGGTGAGAAATCAGCTCTGTAGATTTTGAATATTGACAGTTTTACGAGAAGTGGTGGAACAAAAATGAGTTAAGGAGCTCCGCAAGTGGCTGTGGGGGAAGCCTGTGCCAAACAGCGGGAGGAGCGTGAGGCCGGCCAGCCGCCCGCTCACAGAGCCCTCTGCTCCAGCCGTCACACAGGCCGCTGCAGCAACAACAAGTTGAAATATGGTGATTTTTGTAGTGGTTTACTTTTTTTTGTAGTGGTTTACCACTGTTTTAAGATGTGGAACAATGATGTTGTGTGGTTGTGGACTTCTGAGTAACTTATACCATCTGCTAGGTTACAGTTGCAGTCTGAAGCGGCTTTGATTTGGATGCACAGCAATGTGCAGTATGAGAAAAATATGGTGTTTTTTGAAAATTAAACCATGTAAACCTGTTCTGGTATAACCCCTAAATAAGATTTTGAACCTGAAAATGAGCATAATACCTACATAATACATAATTTAAAACTACACATATGTGTTTTAAAAAAATCTTAAATAGGAACCGATGGGCTTGGACTTGGAAGTCACAGGCTAGGTAGGGAAGTGAGAAACAGCATTACAAATTGCTGTATTTTCACTGTATATATGAGAAAAACACATGGAATATTAACAGCTTTCTCCTCTTGGTGTTTTAGTCTTTGACATTCCCTTCAGTTTGAATGAATTTAAACGATATAGTTTCATTCTTTCTATGTATGGAAAGAGCTTACTGATGGTACATGGATGGAGGGAAAAGAGGATGGACAGGCCAGTGGATGATGGTGACAAGTTCATATAAGTCTGGAGCAAAAAAAAAACATAGAAAGAAACACAAATCAAAGGCAGAGAGTCAGCTCAAGCCTGAGAAACAAAACAAGAGTCTTCTGAAGGTAAAGGCAGAGGGAAAATGAAGAGAGAACAGCAGAAAGCCAGAGTTTGTGCTGTGCCTGAAGGAGTAAACATCTATGTGATCTGCTGTGAGAGCTGCTGCTTTTACTCTGGTACCTGCAGTGGTAACCCGGCTTGCTCTCTCTCGCCTCTTGTCTTTGTCTGTATCTCTCGACCTCAAGTGGCTCACTGTTCACCTTTCATCCCTTTATCCCTGCTTTATTCCTTCAGGTCAGGAGTTAGGGTGAGTCCTTTGATTATACGTGTGTGTGTGTGTGTGTGTGTGTGTGTGTGTGTGTGTGCATGTGTGTGGGTGAGCCACTGCTACATTTTGCACTACCTGTGGAAGGTGAACTTATAAAGTTATATAGATTTATATAAAGGCTTAATATTTTTATATTATAAAACATCTGATCCAAACCTGATTCATACAGTGTGTTCTACCTGTTATATGATGGATATGATATGACGACATATGTACTAAGTCACTTTTCCTACGGGATGCCCTTAACCTGAACTGATTAAAAATATCCTTTTGAGTAAATTCCACGCAAGTAGCACCGGCCCTTCTGTTGGAATCTCTGACTGCATCACACAAAGATAGATTACCAGTGTTACGGCTCCCGCACGAGAGAACTGTAACAGATGGCACAGATAGAGAGAGAGAGAGAGGTTGACCATCTCAACAGGACTTAATTTCACTGGCAGAGTAATCAGGAGGATAAAATCGTCAGGTCATTTAAAGGCAGCAGTATTACAGAATTGCCCCAGACATTATACATGAATGGAAAGATCAAAAATGTCCCCTGCTCTCATGCAGCATTCTGTCAACAAGTGGAGAGGCACCGCCATCAATAAACAGCAGGCGTCATGCATTTATGCAAAATAATTATCAAAATGTAGGCCTACTGAATTAAAATCTATTTTAATTTAGTTGTACTTAAGCAAATACAATTAATCCAATATTTCCATGAACCATTCAGGTTATTAGTGCAAGAATGATCAATTTCTTTTAAATTTTGAATTATACGACCACTGTTGATTGTTGCTGGATGGGCTGTATTATTTTTCTCCTAAAATGCCTGTAGTTAAGCATTGTATCAACCTAATTTTTCATTGCCAGCTTAGACTTTGTGCCTTAAGGATGATGCT